AACAACAACAACAACAACAACAACAATAATAATAATAATAATAATAATAATAATAATAATATAGTAATAACAACATTGGCCACTTGGATAGTCCCATTGACCCTTGGGGTCAATACTGACCACTTTGGAGGACCCTGCTTTAAGGCAAGTAACACATGTTGCTGTTGTGTTGCATTCTTCTGACCTGGGGATGGCTCTGAAGATGTTACAGGGAGCTATTTTCTAATTAAGAAACCATTTCCTATCAGACATGTCTATGCCAGTCCTACTGTTAAAAGGACAAGAGCCAGTTTCAAGGAGCAGACTTTTCCAGCCATTTTATAAACTGATGTTAAAATAAAATGCTACAAAATGTGAATAATCTGCATGGCTGTTATAACGATGTTGTCTTTTAATCTTGGCTCCTCTTGAAGTTGCTTATGACTTACGGAGAGAGACTGAGTAAGGTTGGAATCTGTTGCCACCTAAATGACTAACAATTTCTTTTCTGTTGCTCTCTGCAGCTGGAGTGTTCGTAAGCTGTGCTGGCTCTGGGGTTCATTGATCATTCTGTGGAGCATTAATTACTGCTAGACACGGCATGTCATATAGGATTCACCCTTGCCTTATCACTTAATACTGACTTTTTCTGTTTTTGGTCGGGGTTGTTGGTTCACCCTGGCCTTTATTATTTGATTTTTCTTTAAAAAAAAAAAGTAATTCTCAAAAGGTGTCTGTTTTCTTCTTCTTCTTGTTTTGAAAATGCTCTTGCCCAGCCTGTCTCGTTGCTTGAGAAAGCTGCGCCTCAGTGGTGCCAAGGGAAGCTACAGGCGCATCTCGTAGCTCAGACTAACCTTCTGCGGAATCAGGTGATAGCCCAGCCTCTCTTGCTGTCTAACCCTGCACGTGCTGTCTCTGGCTGAAGCCCCCTTCTCTGCTTATTCCCCAGGCAGCGTTCACTCTAACCTCTCATAGAAGTATTCTTTTCTCTGGGAAGAATGTTGACTTAAAATTTGGACTTCTTAAAGCCAAAAGAAGTTTGAAAAAGCAATGGAGTTTTTTTGATTTTGTGCACCGCTTGAATATATGGTACAATGTCCTCATCAGCAATTCAATGTATAGGTGACCATTAAGAAGACAGGATAGAAAGTGGTTCCAGTAGTTACTGATTAATTTGTGTGGCAACTGGCATTGCTTATTTAGGAATAGTATTTGCCTAGGAGTTTATAGTTGCTGAATCATGATCCAATATTTCTGGATTCTGAGATCTATACATGATAAAGAGGGGAGGCAAGTATATATCTGCATATCATACAGCAGCCTCTTCTTGTTATGTATTTAGATTTTTATAATCTGATACTCAGAGTCCTATATAAAAGACTTAGTAAGCAAGGCTTACTATTTCCATTAACTCACCAATGATTGAAGTCCTTCACTCTCATTCACATTTCAGACTGGTTGACCATGGTTCTTGGTCAACAGTTACTCTTCTCCTTGATTAAAACCCAGCTGCTAAATCCCAGGATCCATTTCATGTGGAAGCCCCAGAAATGATATTGTTGTTCTACTGCCACATCTCTTTCCCTTCACCTACTATATAACAAGCAAGGAGAAGAGAATTTTTTTTTTTATCCTGAATCTTTTGTTGTTGTTAAGTTGCCTGTATGGGCTTCCGTGTGATTTTCAACTTCTGTTTGTACATGTTATTTTATAGCTTAACCTGTTATAAAATCCAGATGTTTTTAAAATGGATTTATAACAAGCTTTAAGAGGGTCTCTACATTGTTTTAGGCTTGTTCCTCTTTATGATTAGAAATGATTCTGGACAATGAAGCCTTTTCTCTAAAATCATTTTAAGAACATGGGTGCCAGTAAATAAGATCCTGCCATGAAATCTGAACATCCAAAAGCCTTATGGGAAACAACTTGGTAATAAGTGAATAAGAATTATCAGATGCCTGTTTGCCATGCAGAACAGAAATAAGGACCACCTTAGTGTATTGTGTTTTAACAATGGACACACTTGAGAAGTAAGAAAGCTAAATGAAGCAAAGAACTGAATGAAAGAGAGAAAAAAAAGAGCAACTACTGGAGGACCACAACCTATTGTCTTGAATGAAAGGAACCCATTTCCTTTTTTGTGGCTTCCCTGAACTGGTCAGTGAATAAGTTTAATTCTTGCGCTGGCTGCTTTAAACTCAGCTTCTCAAATTCCAGATGGTTTGGACTACTATCAACCCTGACCATTGACTATTTTAATTTGGACTGATGAGAGTTTTGGGTGGTCTATATCTGGACTGAAACATGTGTTTGGTCCAGATGTGTGTTCCAGCTTTTCTGAGGGGGAAGAATGGGACATAACCCACACATCATCATCAGTGGCAGCTAAGGGGAGGTAGGAAAATTGCATCACTGGGAAGACTGGGGAAAGGTGTGGGTGAGCTGGTTAGATTTGCAACTCTTGAAGCCAAGGAAATTGGTGGTGGTGGCGGCTAAGGGAAGGTAGAAAAAAGAACATGGTAGAAAGATTAGGGAACAGGTGGGCCACTTGAATGTGCTGTGCTTGAAGCCAATTAGCTTCAAATATGGCATAGCCAAGTGGCCTGCCTATCCTCCAATCTTCACAGCATCTTCCGACCTCTACTTCCCCTTAGCCACTGCTAATGTTCTTGGGTTAGTCCACCTGGAATGGTTCATCAGAACTTCCAAATTTCTGGTTTGTACACACCCTAGTATGTGGTTCTTTTTGTAGGTGAGCTAGTGTTCAATTCCTTGTTTCCTGCCATAATCTCTGTCTTTTATCAGAGATAGGCAGTATATTACATGGTGGTAGATTTACATTTTTCTGTCAGAAACATGGGAGGTGTTCCAAGAGGGTAGAAATAAGTTACTATTCTAAGCAGTGTTCTCTTTTAGAATATATTCAAGAAAGTTGATGAGACAAATTGCTTAAGACAGCAAATTCCTGCCTTCCTACAACCCCATTGAAATGCTGACTAAAAGCAGTACAGATGCTTGCTTTATAAAATTGGCCCAGAATCAACTATGTATAAAGAAACTCTTTTTCTTTATGTTCATGAATCAGATGGGCAGCTGTTTCATCTTGCTGTGTTTTGGAATTCCTCAGTGGGGATGAAAATAAATCACATTTGAATCTAATATTAAGAGAAATTTCAAATGAAAAATTTAAAAATCTGCAGAAGTTGGCACTGGAAATTTGAAGTGAATCCAGATGACATAGTTAAGTAGCTTATATGTTAGCAAAAGTATAGAGGTGGTATAATGCTAAAACACTAACTAATAGGATTAGTATCTTAAAAGATTAAAAAGTACTTGGATATAAAAGGTCTAGGAAATGCAGATCACTAACATGGCTTGTTCTAAAGAAACCTCACTCCCCAACATATCCATTAATTCCTGAATTATATTTGATAAGTAAAACAAAGGGTGACTTGAAAGAACTATTGTGATCCAGTGAATAGTATTTGTTCCTGGAATTGGAATGCTTGCTTGCTTGCTTATTGTAAGTTTTACATATCACTTCAGTCCACATAGCTTAACGCAATGCATATCAGAGCAAGTAACACTTTACCAATGCACATGTCAATAAAGATAACACATCAGATAGAAGCAATGATATAAAAACATAAGTTATATTAAAATTATCTAAATTAAGCTTTGAAAATGCAAGATATTCAGTTGATTTTAAATCATCCATACTGACCCTTTCCAAAATCTCTCTCTTTTTCAGGAATATTTTGAAGTGCTCCTTGTTTAATGGTCAAATTCCATTTCTGCTATTTCCCATACAATTTCTCAGCTGTTGTAAAAACAGAATGTAAAAAGTAGTCATGAGATTGTATGCAGCAAGTTAGAATTTGTGCATGATATTCCCGGTCAGATTTGTTTTCCATTCCTTTTTTGCCTCAATTTACTTACTATCTTTGGTCATTGCTTTGTATATCTATAGCAGAGCATATCTCAATTTTTTAAAAATATTTTATATTATTATTAATTTGCCTTAAGATAAAGAGACAATTGTCATACTAACTACTTCATTGAGCAGGGTTGCCAAGCAGATTCCCATGGGAAACCATGTATTGTAATTGGGGTTAAGAGCCTCTTACCATTAGTTTATAGAGTGAACGTTGCCTTGGGTACTTCTCACAATATTGGGATATTTCAATGTATAGATTGCTTTTTCAGTTCCTTGAGCATGAATAATTTAGTCTACCAAAAATGGAAAAGTAGACTAGCTCAGTATTGAGATTCCAAGTAATAATGTAATATGAAGTTTATATGCTCTAAACCCTCAACTTTGCTATTAAATTCTGACCATTGCTTAATTCAGCCATATCAAATCATGTGACACATGCCCCCCCTTAAAAAAAAAAAACCCAACCAGGCACTAAGCTAGCTTTATAGTATATATCACTAAGAAAACATATTTCTGTTGTAACCAAAGAAACTGACTTATGTTGCTATCTTACATAGGGTGGTTGAAATCTTCTTAGAATTTCTTTTCAAGGACAGAGGGCTTCTTGACTTACATGTATTCTGAGGTCCACTCTGTTGAAGTTATATCACATAAGTAGTCTATAAGTAGTCCTTAGGGACCTTTTGTTGTTCCTGCCATGGTAGTATATAAGCAGTTTGTTTTTTCTTGCTACTGAATTGGTAAGAGTCCAGCTTCACTATTTACTCATATTATGGTAGACTATATATGATATAAAATGAAGCTTCTGTATATTTACTGGTTAAATACTCTATTCCACTAGTGTCTAGATACATATGTACCTACTGCTTGCAGTTTGTTAGTCTCTTTAAAACGTTGTGCTAGTCCTAACCACTTGGGGAGTATCAACTATTTATATCAGTTTTACTCTGAACTGAATATTGCAGAATTGCATTTCCATGTAATTCCAGAAGTCTGTGCAAATATAATAACTCTTACTGATATGCAGACTGCCATTTCCAACATTTTGGTAGATGTGTTCTGAGAATGAACTAGACTAATAGGTAGCTTTGTAGATCTACCTTTTGGAACTCCTAGTATTAGCCACATAAGCAGTTTCCATTCCTGCAGCTACACATTGCAATTCCCACTTTTATTGGGGACAGATGGCCATAGGGAAGTAGAAGGAAATTTCTATCAGCTGGAGGTATAGGTGGACTTTAATTGGGATTCTAATTAGGCCATGATTAGTTTATCTTTGTACAAAGTAGAGATCTACTTTGGAAGTGACCAATACTTAGTTGCCAGGATCTTCTCCCTCACTCTTCAGTGTGAGAGAGATGGACTTGTGGGATCTTGGTCAGTTTTGTCAAACCTTGAAAGGTAAGCATATCATAGGGATCCTGGGAAGGATTGGGATATTGTTGCCACCCCCTTTTGTCTGCATTAACAACCTGCTCAGGTTGCCAGCCCATATTATAGTAAATGTTTTCCAGATCACCATTGCACTACATAGTGATACGGTACTGCTCTGAGTAGGCCTTGCTTCTAAACATTGTCAGGTAACCCAACCTTGTATTGGTTCTGCTGTGAAGTTCTTCAGCATAGTAAAGTAGGAGTCTTGCTCATGAAAACCCCTATTTTACAATACAATTTCAGTTATGTTAAATCCATGGCATAGAATTACATTTAATACATTCAAAGCAATATAACAGAGACATGAAAGAACATGAAAGCAATATGTATAACCTTTCTGTTTCTTCAATATTTATATTCCATCCAAAACTCCCAAAGATCATTGGGCTTCCCTTATAGGTGTCATTAAGAGTTCCTTGTACCAGGCCCAGGGCACTTTTTCATTTAATTTTTATTATGGAAGACTCTTGGGGCATGTGGAACATACATGAACGTATGTAAACTCTCTCCTGAATGGTTGTATATGGGCTTGTTGATACCCCATTTCTTTTCTTCAGGCCGAAGAAGAATTAGTAAAAGCTCAGAAAGTATTTGAGGAGATGAACATTGATCTTCAGGAAGAACTGCCTTCACTATGGAATAGGTGAGCACTGGAAAAATGCTCTTTATCTATATATTTCTGGGAAGGGGGTGGTCTCAGCAGGGGAATTAACAATATTTTGTTTGGTTCTTGCTCCAAGGAAGCTCAACTAAAGTATTCTGTCCACGCTGTTTCTTTTGCTCTATGGAAATCACGTATTCCAATCCGCAAAAGAGGAATGAAGGAAATGAAAGCTGTTTAACAAGTGGGATAAAGTTGAAGGGAAAACATCTGCCTGTATCTCCATTGACTTGTACTATTTCATTTTCTAGTCGTGTTGGTTTCTATGTCAACACATTCCAGAGTATTGCTGGCTTAGAAGAGAATTTTCATAAGGAAATGAGCAAGGTAAAGTTGCAAGGCATGCTTCTTCCTATTGGTACGTCACATAGTTTCTCCTTCGTACTTTTTCTTATTATAAGGCAGTGTTGTCCAAACTTGGCCACTTTAAGATGAGTGGACTTCAACTCCCAGAATTATGGAACTCAAGGCAGCTTGCGTAATATATCAAGGCAGTTTTAAAAACTGTCCAGACATGGAACTGTTTCTCTTCAACAAGGTCGCTTAATATAAATTTATTTATTTATTTATTTATTTATATGGAACTCAAGGCAGCTTGCGTAATATATCAAGGCAGTTTTAAAAACTGTCCAGACATGGAACTGTTTCTCTTCAACAAGGTCGATTCTGGGAGTTGAAGTCCACTCATCTTAAAGTGGCCAAGTTTGGACAACACTGTTATAAGGCAATAGTGTTAGCTGATGATGCTCAGGGATGCTGACACCATTTTTAGAGTCTTGTTAACTTTTGATGTGCCCCTTATGAAAACAGACTAGGGTATATTCTGAAGGCATAATCATGCAGCGACCTTGTTGAAGAGAAACAGTTCCATGTCTGGACAGTTTTTAAAACTGCCTTGATATATTACGCAAGCTGCCTTGAGTTCCATTGGTGAAAAATAAGAAAGAAAAGAAAATATCATTATATGAGGCCCTGCTTCCTCCTTTATCTGTGGATCTATTTTTTTGTAGTTTGGATGACTTCTGTCAGTCAATTTGGGGAGGATGGGCGGGGACAAGTCCACTAAATAAATAAATAAATAAATAAATAAATAAATAAATTTATATTAAGTTTTGAAAGGCTGGAACCATTTCCCTTATATTTGTGAAAGCCTGACAATGATAAAACTCAATAATTGTTAACAGTGTATTATTGCATCCACTAATATATAGTTAATTAATTAAATTACTCAGTTGCTTTTCAAAAATTGCTTGCCTATGAAACACGTTCTGAATTTCTTTGGTGACTCTGCAGTATTTTACTTTAATATCGTGGAGAAAGAAATTACATCTTCAGAGCAGCATAAATGACTTTTCTCCTCCATTGGACAAATAACTTGACAAGGTACCAGGAAGACCACAGTTTAAAAGAGGAAATATGAAAGAAGGAAATGATGTGCATCAATTTAAGTTACATAAACCTGCAACATAGTCTGCTTTGCTTAGAATTTAGACTCTTGTATTAGGCAATAGAAAAAGCAGGTTGGAACATGGCAATATTGAAAGGAAGATGAAAGAAATTTAAGTGATAGAAGGGGTGTCAAATGACTGGATATAAGTTGAGAAATAAACAACCAAATATTTAAGAGGAGAGCTGCAATACTGTTGAAGCAAATAGCCATCCATGTTATTTAATAACCTGCCGATCTTCCAGCAAGGAGTTCAGATTTGTATGTATAAACTTTCCAGGTTAATATTGCCTTAGTTCCATGCCTTGGCATTAATGAGACCTCCAAACAGTGTCCTGAAAACTAGATTTTCTGGGGAGGGAAATTGTATAGTTCAGCGGCCCATATTTTGCTGGAATGTCTAAGCTATTGCATATCTCTATAAATAATGTTATGTAGTATGAGCCACAAAGATGATTTAATGTTGTGGGTGGCAATATAGGCTTAATGAAATTGCCAACTTACATTGCATTTGACACACTAGTGTGACCAGATGGATGTTGTAGCCAAACAACCAAGAGTAATTCACCAAAACAGAGACATTTTTCAGCTAGGAAAAGATGTTCCTGTCACGCTTCAGCTAAGGCATTTAAAGTCTTTGCAACAAGTGAGAAAAACAGAGTAGTAGACCACTAATAGCAAAGTTGTACTAATAGCAAAGCTTCACATTATTTACATTGATCAGAGAGGTGTGTGTGTTTCCCCATAGTTCATATGAGCAATTTAAATATAAAAGTGCTAGAACCAGACCACAGTAATGTTACGCTTATCAACAGTGATGTACATTCTTCCAACATTGTAGCAATCTATGAGATGAAACCTCGGGCAGTTTGTTCCTCTGGGGTATTCGGAGGTGATCCTGTTTCTCCCATTTTTCCTGGGGCAAAAGTGATGCCAAAATGTATCTGCGTTTCATTAGAGTCAGAGAGGTCCACTGACCAGCTGCAGTGGCAGACACAGGGCTGCAAGCCTAGATGAACTCCTTCCCTCAGGGCAAACATTGGTTTGGCCTGACGTCTTATTTAGTGACAGACTAGGGTTCCATAGCAACCCAGGCAGGCAAGGTTGGCTGCCGATGGGGAGAGAGAGAAGAAGGATGGTATTAAGTCCCAGTGAGAAGCAAAGAGTCTGTATTGACAGAAGGTCCTGGAGCAGTACAAATATGTGAAGCTGAGCCAGAGGAGGAGAAACTGAGAAAAAGAAGAAACGTGAACTGAATTGTTTTTTTGCTTTTCGTTATGTGTACATACATCACAGATTTTGCTCCTATGGCATCTGTCTCAAAAGGTGCCCCAGTGTACCTAGTGCTTTCAGTTTACATTACTGTGATGTGGATGGAGGTAATGTAAAGGCACGGCGTAATCCTTCCCTTAGCAAAACACCCTCTTCTTGGGATCCTCAGTTGTACTTACGCATTTCTGATAGGCTCTTGGTTATACTGACCTGTAATTTTTTTTCCCTGTTTTGAACCTTTGTTTATTTATTGCCTCAGTTAAACCAAAACCTGAATGATGTCCTTGTGACTCTAGAGAAAGAACATGCAACAAGCGCCTTTCCTGTTAAAGCTCAGCCAAGGTTAGTACACGTAAACCCATGTCTGTTTTTTCAAGAAGAATGGAAAAAATCCCCTTCCACTGTCAAAAGCTGGGCAGCATCATGCCTGTCTCTCTTATTCTCTGACTAGTGTCTTGTGATTACAGCGATCATAACTTGTATTAAGTGTTTCTCTCTCCTGCCACCCTGGCATTCCAGGAAGTGTCTCCCCGGTGCTTCTCATGGTTAAATGTGCTGTTTCCCTATCTGCACCAAAACAAGACATAGATAGAAATGTACCTTAAAATGTGTGTGTGTGTGTGTGTGGACGTGCACATGCATATAATAATTTCATTTAAAGACATTTTTAAAAAATATAACTACTTGAATGGCAGGAAAAAGGAAGAAATGTTGGAAAAGAGTAGGAAACCCTATATTTTCTGTTTTCTTATGAATGGGCTGTTCAGTCTTCAGCTGTGGTATTTTTATCCCTAGATTGGCTCTTAGAAATTTAGCAATTGAAGCTTTGATGGAGATAGAAAGATGGGAAAAGTACATTTCAGTGTGTTGGGCTAATGTTTAATTCATCAGAATTGGTTCTATGATAAATTGGTCTCCTTGGCACAATATTCTGGTTTCCATATCTTTGTGTATGCCAGCGTAAGTATGTTTAATAGAACTAATTACATATTCTTTTCCCATTTTATCCTTGTCTCCATTTCCTTCCCTTCCTTTGTTGTTTCCCTCTGTCAATGTTTAGATTGTAAGCTCCTTGGGGCAGGGACTTGTTCTCTTGTACTGTGTAAAATGCCATGCACATTGATGGTGCTATATAAATAATAAATAATAATAATAAACCTTATTCTCAGCTCTGGGGCTAAAGGCTGGCCCTTTGAGCTCCTTGACTCTGTTACTTATGATTTATATTTTTAAGGGTCACAGCTCCATATCAGACACCTTTTAGCACAATCCCATAAAAAGAGATTAGGTTTACACAACCATAAATGCATCTAGGATGGCATCCATGAGGTTGAATATACTAGTAAAACAAGACAATGCAATTCTGATGTACAGTGCTACACAATGGCTACATTTAGATGATCATGTGTTTATCTGAACTGGAAAAGAGACCTGTATACACACACTATAGAATAATACTATGGAAGATGGATCACAATATTATATTAGTATTTTTGCTATACAAGTAGGGGTGCTTTTGAACTGCTGCAGGAAATTCAAGCAAAGTTGGTGAATGTTTTTTGATGTTTTCCCCAGCATTTTAAGGTTATTATTGATGAATTTACTATTTAGTAATGAATTTACTATTAAATTCAAGTATTTTTTTAAAATCAAGACTGTGAAATTCTTTGTTAAGAAATTCACTACAGTTTACCAGATGAAGCTAATTCCAGTTAGAGACAAGAAAAGGAAGAGGGCATAAAATCTGCCAAGATTATGAATATACAATATTTTCCCCAACCGTCAGCTCAAACAGTTAAGAGGAAAGTAGGCCTCACTTTTTGGATCAGATGGTTTCTGACTTTCATCCAACTATGTGAATGATGAAGCAGTTTGGGAACTCAGATTCCCAGCTGCTCTGAGTCCTAGTTGCCGTGTTCGCATTAATGAGATGAAATGGGCCAAGCCATCATTAGGGAAAGGATTATTGTGGGCTGACTGTATTCCTTTTGGAAAGCAAATGGAAGTTAACATGGTTCCTTATTTATGTGAAACTACTCCTACACACGCAGTGAAACAAAGGGAAGATGAATCTGGAAATTGAATTGGTATCAGAAAATTGAGCAGTTTCTGTATTCTTGCCAATGAGTGGAACACTTAAAGTTTTCCAAAGAGATAGGGAGTGTAATTGTAGACCCTCTATAAACACAATTCCACCCAACACTAAATAAAACAGATCTATGATAAAATAATGGAAGGAAAACATACAAGAATGATGAAAGAGTGGGAGAGACTGAACAAATGAAGTCAGCAGTAATAAGCTTAATTTATATAATTAGTTAAGATATCCCCAAATATATAGAGCAACAAGCAGAGAGAAAGAAGAGCGTAAAGCTGATCTATTTAGGATGAAGATTTGTAAATACTAACCTGGGAGTAAGCCACAGTAAATTTAGTGGTATTGATTTTTGAGTAAACTTGCATATGATTGCTCTCTTAAATGAATAAGAACCATGACAAGAATAATTATTTTGATCCCTTTAAATGAAGTTTTGCTTATTCCTTCTACATGGACTAATGTAATTTTAATACAGTGATTATTTCAGTGCTATAGATTCCTTTCTATTGATATCTCATCTGAAAGGAGTTATGCCACGCTTGACGCAATTATTTGTTTTGTTCTTTCTGTGAAGTGTGGCTGAATAGCATTGGTTTAGGCATAACAGTAGAGCTGAAGCCAAAGAAAGGTTTCAGATAAAAATGCAAGAATAAAGTCAAAGTGAGAACTAGGTACTATTGTATCAGTTATATTTACAAGCCAAAAGTATTTAATAAAATACCTTATTTGTGTACTTTGGAAATTGAGATGGAAAAAAACTGTATATCAATGATAGCGTAGAAAGGGCATGAAAGCCCATCATAAGCAAGGTATTATGGGATGGCATGAAGATACCAGCACCCTAACAGATCTGACATCTATTTTCAGCTGACATCATCCAATGTACAACGGTAGTTCAAACAATTTATGTTTTGTGGGAACTAATTTTTCAGGACACATTTAAAGACCCTCACCCATTCTGCACCATAATTTGGGACCTTAATGTCAAATTAGCATCTGGTTGGGTTTGTGGATAGTACTAAGAAAACATGTAGTTGACCTAATCCATGTGGCTATGGGGCTTTTGAGATTACATTAGTGCTGTAACATGAACCCATTGGAAAGTGATTCCCATGTTGCTAATGTAATGTTTAAAGAAAATCCGTTTTCTCATGCTACAAGCAGACACTTTTCAAGGCTCGCTGTGTTCATTGATCTTGCGATAGATCAGGAAACATCAGTTGCCAAAACTCAGCCCTCTGCTGGAAGTATTGGGTCCTTCCTCTCCTCCCTCTTCCACCCAATCATCAACGTTTCTTTTCCAATACGACTTTAAGTTAATCTGAGGATAAGTGGTGACAAGAATCCTGCTTCTCCTCTTTCCTCTTCCCATCCACTGGACACTGACATAGCAGTTAATGGATATAATTGAAAATGTCCAGTGTGCATACCTGTTACCATGCTAAGATGACACACTGGGACACATTCTAGTTCCTCTATGAACGAATATCTGCACAGTAATTGCCTTAGCTTATGCACGGAATCTTCACCTTTCTTTCTCATTGGTTGAGCCGTGTTGTAATGGAGATCACTTACGTGTGCCGTCCTCAACAGAAAGAAAACTAAACTCTTCTCCAGGCTGAGGAAAAAGATGAGCAGGTACCAGAATGGCAAAGTGCATTCCCCAAATGGTCTGATTTGGATGACAAAGGCAAAGGCCCGGCTGCATTCTAACAGCTTAGTGCATTGATAGCTTGATGACTGTAGGGGTTTTTCCTTTTTTCTTTGCATGATTTAAATCACTTTGCCTCAGAATTGTTTGAGATTGCCTTTGTGTGTGTCTGAATAATCCAAATATTTTGTTTGTTTTAATCTCCCCCCCCCCCTTTTATACAATTTCAGTGGAAGATCTGTGGAGTTCAGGATGAAAGTCTTTGTGTTTCCTAATACATTCCTCAAGGATAGCTGTAATACTTTGTGCTCTGTACCTAGAGATAAAAGCTTATCAGGACAACCAGATAACTTAACGTTTTTTGCTTTAGTGGGTTATGATATTGTACCCTTCCAAATGAGGAAAGGGTGTTGCTTTTCCTTTAATGTTTCAGACTGAAGTGGCCCCATATTTTACGCATACTATTCAGAGCTAGTAGGAATATCAAGTTAGATTTGAACTAAGGCCTGTTAGATACTACTTCACTACAAATCTGTGTATTATTTGTTGTAAATTTCTGCTTGATATTTGTAAGGCTTCTGTGATCCCTTTGCAAGAGCTTAAGTTAATGTGGTGTAGCAATTGACATAACAGTGCTGAAGGAGAATGATAGACTTTTGCAGTTAGAGTAACTATGGAGAAAATTTCAGCATTTATTTGAGGAATATGCAGCTCCATATATTGATAAGTAGATTTTTTTGTTTGTTTCAGAGGAATTGTTATGTAGCTGGACATTTTGGTCATATTTCCTCATATAACATCCCATGTCTTCCACAATAAAAGTGGTGAATTATAATAGTGCTCCTGTTCTTTCTACAACCAGATAACTTAACGTTTTTTGCTTTAGATTTCAGCATTTATTTGAGGAATATGCAGCTCCATATATTGATAAGTAGATTTTTTTGTTTGTTTCAGAGGAATTGTTATGTAGCTGGACATTTTGGTCATATTTCCTCATATAACATCCCATGTCTTCCACAATAAAAGTGGTGAATTATAATAGTGCTCCTGTTCTTTCTTCATATTCTTCTGGCTTGCCTTCCAGAAAATATCTGAATTTTGAAGCTAGCTGCTATGTTATTACTGTGTGATCCATGTTACCTTTTAAACATAGGAAACTTCTGAAATATTTGCAATCAACTCATGAGGGAAGAGGAGGAGGAAAATGAGCTCTTTACTCCATCAAATTCTGAGTAAGGAGCCCTTATGACTCCTGTTGTTCCTTTTGTGAAAGTCAGTTGGAAAGTAGCTTCTTTTCTTCTTTTGCTTTTTGTGACATGGTCACAAATAATTTCTATCCTGAAGAGATTAGTATCAGTTGTATATAGGGGGGAAAAAACTCTCTAGAAAGAATATGGACTTAAAAGGAGAGAAAAAGCTAAATGGCTTCTTGGAGTAGATGGTGTTTTATTACAAACTATTGTAATAAATGTTTCCTATACTAACTGGCTTGCTGAATAAATATGCATGATGGCTGCTATTACTAAGTGACTTTGTATAAAAAGAGAGTTCTCAATTGTTTCCTTTCTACCAACTATCTGCCTTTTGATCAGATTTGAGTCCGAGGAGGCACAATAAAAGACAAGATAGACATGGTTGAGGTGTAATTTGGTGGCTCACCTTTGATTATTTGCACCTCCGCCTTCCACATGATTCTCCAGCAGTCAATGGGTTATAGTTAGAACCTCTTAGAACCAAGAACCAAGTGTGTTTACCTAAGCATAAGTCCTGATGAATTTAGGACAATTTATTTCCCAGTGCAAATTAGCAGTAGAGATGATCTGAGTTTTTAAAAAAATTCTATTGCTATATATCAGTGGTTTTGATTTTTTGTTTTAAATCCTAACATTTGAATATTTAGTTGACAAAATGTAGTGCGGAAAACAAGCTTTCATGATTTTTTGTTAGTCTGGTCCATTTTTCAAGCTTTGGCTTTGCATTGTTTAAATAAAAAATCAGTTGCCTCATCCCTCTAAGCCACTTGGCTATCCAGCGGCTTTCATGATTAAAAGATTGAAATACTGATTGTATAACACAGAACACTGTGCAGGATCACAAAAAACATTTACTCAGGAGATTAACATTCCTATACTTCCTTGGATCTCAGAGGTCTGCTTATTTTTAATGCACTGTATAATGAAAATCATCTTATTTAAATCTTAGGGAGTAACCAAGAGCTGTTTAAGAGCTAAACTATATTGTAGACAAACTTTGGCACTGCATGTATTGCAATTTAGATCAGAGCATGGAGGGAGGTTGAGATGTTGGTTTTTGTTACCCCTTTTTAAAAAAGCAAAAACAAAATTCTTCTTTTCCTCCATATTGCAATTCGAATCAGTGCCCCTCCTCTATCTGTTGTTTGGCAGTGGAATGGAAAATCTCTTCAGTAGCTTCCTGTGACAAATAATGCCAATTATTATGGGGGGGAGGGACTTCGGTTGGAATTGCATTGGATCTCCCTATGTCTCTCAGTGGTTGTTGTTTACTGCTTAAAATGTATCTATACATACAGGCATTGCCAAGCTACATGTTAGGCATCACACAATTTGGTTCTAAGAATTTCCATCACTAGCACTGCTGATCCCTTACACTAGCCATATGTTGTATGTTTTGGGAGTTAGATCTTGGCAGCGCTTCAACTTTACATTCTTTTTCTCTTCTTTTGATATGAAGCACACATATACTTTTCTATACATTAAAGCAATATCAGTAGATATATTCCAAACAATGCACGTGAAAGAAGCATTTCAGTGTATTCCAAGAAATATAAAAGCCTACTCAGATATCAACTCTGTAATGCTTTCTCTTGTTTTCTTACAGTGACAGCACAAAAGCAAACAAAACTCCTTCATCTCCACCCGATGGGACTCCTATCACCAGCCCCGAGATCAAGGCCGTCAACCATGAGCCAGAGCCGTCCACTTTGGAGACTCCTCCGGGAGGCATTCCCAAGTCTCCTTCTCAGGTAGTGAGAACTGCCGCTGCATTTTCCTTGGGGATTTACACATTTCTATCACATAGTTCTGTTACACAGGATAGTTTAACCAAATATCTAGTTCAATTACTTTTTTTTTGTTCAGGTTCTTTAATAGTTTTCAGCAAGCTGCACTATTTCTCTTTCTCTCTAAAATTGTCATTTCTTAATCCCTGCTTAGAAACAAGCTAGTTTGTATGATGTAATTAATGTAATACATAATTGTTCAAGAAAAGACATGGCTAAATGAGATGACTTGGCATGTATAACCTCTGAGTAAACTAGTCAACTACAACATCAGTGGAGTAGTAGAATGTAAACATATTGGGGTAAGCCTCCTGAACTATTTTCAGAGACATCGGTAACAAACTGGAGGTTACTGTTAGACCAGAAGAGGTTTTCCAATAGGATTATTACATAATCTTCACTTTGCAAATTGTTTAATGGCTTTATAATGGTTTTGTGTGAGATGGGCAGCCATATAAATGTGACATATCAATTAATCAATCAATCAATGGCACAGGTATTAAAAAATACTACTAAATGTCAAGCCACGTTTTTTAGAATTTTACCCTCTGTTTGAAAATGACATCATACATACATGATTTCATCATGCAAATGATGACATTATGTGCTTGTAAGTCACATCACTCACATGATGACATCATCATACTTGGGTCTTCATTTGCCTACTTGCCCTCTCCTGCAGATTCCCCTCTATACTTGTATTATTTTATAAACATGAATATTTTATTTTTTGCCAGACTTATCTTAATATTTGTCAGTGTGGTTTTAATTTGATTTTAGCCAAATTCACTTTGGCTTGACAAAAGTAGCTTTGTTCTAGTATTTCAGCACCAAACAATCTTTTGAGAACCTTCTGCTAGTTAAAAGTGTAACAGATTTACCAGTGGATCAACATCTTGGAATTTAATTATAGTTATATGAAATAAAGTATGAGATCCCAGAATATTTAGGGCAATGGTAGATCTAGGTAAAATATCTATAAGAAGACATTATAATACAACCACTATTCCTAGGTGACTATGCATACCATTATATCTCTAGCTTCCAAATAGATAGTAAGAACACACACACACACACACACACGTAATTGGCTTGACATTTGGTCATTTTATAAAATGCAGGTGCCCTGTTTTTTATAAAACCATTAATCAACCTTGAAAACTGAATAGATGTGACACTCCTATTGAGGAATCTCCTCTGGTCTAAGAGCAGTGTCCTTGGGAGAAGGAAAACACCCAGACCTGTCTTAGAAGTACTCTGGATTCAGAATGAATCTCTTTGGATTCAGTTTAGAAGTATATTAAAACAGGTATGAAGAATGATAAGTGGGATAAAAGACTACTTGGATCAACAGGGTGAACAATATTTGCAGCACTGTTTCTGATGAGATTTCCCCCTCCATCTGTAAATAGGACAATGGAAATGTGCTGCTTTGTGTATTTGACTCTCAGTTGGACTGAAACAATAGTCATTTGGACAAGAAATTGTATCGTAAGCCCCTGCGTTCGTGCCACGAATTTGCTAATAAGAACAGCAGCACTCCGGGGACCTAGCTGCTATCAAGCAGCAATTTTAGCTTTAACAATATCATCATAAGAAGTGCATCTTACTTGAGAGACATCTTGCTGAATATTTTGTTTCAGTAAAACAAAACTAATAGAATGCCATGGGGCCAGCCACTGTTGTAAGTAGTTTTCATTTAGATAAAATTGCTGAGACAATGCTGATAGAATACAGTAGTACAGCATAACATACATTTTTATATGTGCACAATGTTTTCAATATTTTTTCTCTTTACAGATATATAGAACGTGCCTTTAAATTTCTAAAGACATGTTCTAACCAATCTTGAAAACTTCTTGGGTTGCTTTTTTAAATATTTTCTTTCTTTCTTTCTTTCTTTCTTTCTTTCTTTCT